TGGGCTGCGAGCGCACATTGCTGGCTCCTGTCCAGCTTTTCATCCACCAGTACCCCCCAAGTCCTTCTCGGCAGGGCTGCTCTCGATCCCTTCATCCCCCAGCCTGTATTGATACCGGGGGTTGCCCCGACTCAGGTGCAGGACCTTGCACTTGGCCTTGTTGAACCTCATGAGGTTCACACAGGCCCACTTCTTGAGCTTGTCCAGGTCCCTCTGGATGGCATCACGTCCCTCTGGCGTGTCGATCACACCACTCAGCTTGGTGTCATCTGCAAATTGCTGAGGGTGCACTCGATCTCACTGTCTGTCATTGACATATTTTGTTTCTTAAAATAATGTTTCATTAACTGCATTACAAATTAATGCTAAAGACCCATGCATGCAAAATTAGAATGGGAAGAAGTGTTTTGATTACTTTCCAGGTGGATGTAGGAGATGGGAACTGCTAAAAAGACCCATTTAGGAGAACATTCTGCATGGATCCATTTCTCCAACTCTTGCTATGTGATGACTGTGACATTTATTTTCAGGGCAGCAGGTAGAGTAGCAGAGTAATTTGCTAAGAAAGTAAAGCTTTTGTTTGTTTGTTGTCAGGTTTTTTTTTTTTTTTTTTTTTGTTAGACTGGTAGGATGGAGATAGGCTTTTCAAGTGACACAGTAAAGTCAGTAGTTTACCTGGGAATATCGCATTTAAGCATAAAGACGCCCACAGCAATCTTTGCTTTTCCAGGGGAAGAGTTTACTTTCCCAAGAGGAAATAATAACATTTAATTGACTGTTGGTTATTTTTTGTCTTCCTCCTTTTAATTTCTTGGAAATTACAGTGTGCCAGAGTTTGTAGAGCAAAGTTTTCTTTTTCCGTTATTGCTTGTCCTCTTAAATATATACATCCTCTTAGTATATGGGGGGGGAAAAACACTCTGAATACTGTTTGTCAAAATACTGTTTCCATTTCATGTTGCTTTACTTGAAGGCACTATTATTAGAACTTCTTCCTGTTTATTATTAACTACTTCCTTTATCTTTTGCTGTCTTAAAAATGCATCTGGAGTAAATATATGTATTTTTCATTGTGTATAGGTTCAGCATAATGCAGATAAATCTACTACACTGAAACTAGCAGATTTTGGCCTTGCAAAGCAGGTTACGAAACCCATATTTACTGTGTGTGGAACACCAACGTATGTTGCCCCTGAAATACTTGCTGAGAAGGGTAAGTGTATATATTTATAGTTTGTCGTAAATCATACAATTATTCTGAACTTTCTAATCGTGGAAATATTCCAGAATGTTTCAACCTACTGATAGGCCTTTGCAGGGTAGGAGGTTGGCTAGCAGTGTAATCTGTGAAAGGAAGGGAAATCTTTTAGCTTTTGACAAACACAAGCATGACATCAGTCACGTTTGCATTATTAATGTCTATGGTAATATAACACTGATTTCCTAGCAGACAAGCCATAAAATATCATAGATGGTAAATACTGAAGTGGGGAAATGAACAAAAGTTCGTGTTGCAACCTGAGGGTAGTCAGCCCCATTTCATGACTGTAATCCAAACAACTTTCCAAGGCCCCTAATGATGCAAAAAAATTGTGAACACGTATGTTAAACTTATGTAACAAGCCAAAACATGTTTCCCATCAGAAGAAATTTTGGAGATTTCATATCCAAAAAGATTCAGACCTGAGAAGGAGTCAGTTTTGTTGATGACTCAAGCAAAGCTATTTCTGTTTTTTGTCCTGTGGAGCTGGGTTGCACATCTCCAGTTATATCCAGTTTCAATGGAAACTTGGCACTCTCAGTGCTTTTTTGAAGGGAATCTGAGGAGGACTATTTTAGAAATATATGCTGTGTTTTCTCAGTTAGTCTCCAGCTGACACCGGCCTTGTTGAGACAGTGTTTGTGAAACATGTTGTAGAAGAGAGGCACTTTGTGAGAGCTGTAGTTATTAACAAGCAGAGCAGCTCAGCTTGTAAGCGTGGTGTACCAGCCACTTATTCTTCTGCTGACCTCATCTTTTTGAGAAACTGAGCAAAGCTTCTGTGTTTCTTGGAAAATAGAATGAAAAAGAAACAGTTCCCTACCAGTTGTGAGTTGTCTTTCTAAAACAGGACTTTCGGTTTGTCTTTTCTTCCTTAGGCTATGGGCTTGAAGTAGATATGTGGGCAGCTGGTGTGATCCTTTACATTCTGCTCTGCGGTTTTCCCCCTTTTCGCAGTCAGGAACGTGATCAAGAAGAGCTGTTCCAGATCATACAGCTGGGTCACTATGAGTTCCTTTCCCCATACTGGGACAATATTTCTGCAGGTAAGATTCAGTATGTATAGCAGGTCTGAGAAATGACAGACTTCTTCCCTGGAGTGTGAAGAACTCCCTTTTGTTCAGGACAGTGAGCTCAATGAACTTGGGGGTGCCTTACAGGTCTCTCTTGTGCGATTCTGTGTTTGCTTTAAATGTGAATTTAGTCCTCTGGTAGTATTGATGACTATGAATCTGAATATTAGGTCTGACTGATTTAATGGATTGCTCCCTTTCTGAGGCAAGAGCAAGGATTTTCCTCACCCTGCTTATATGAATTGTCTCTCTAGAAAAAGGTACCAAAATAATCTCCAGGGTTATGTTAGGTTGTAAAGATGTATGCGAAAATCTCAAAAGCTGAGAATTAAATCCTTGCTCTGCAGAACGCAGTGTGGATTTTCTGTTGAGATCAATGGGGGCTGCACATAGTAGTTTTCTCCTTCTTGCAGGCTAGTATGGTGTCTTTTGTGCACTCTTGAAAATCGGAAACCCTAAAACCCCTCTCTCCCTATACAGTCTTTTAAAGAACATGCTCAACAGCATTCTACGACTTTTATGCTCCTTGAGTGATGAGATACCCAATGCTAATTCCTGTGAATCTGAACACCTAGCCTGATGCTTTCAGCATGCTTTCAAGATTAAATGCCCTGTGCTTTCTCTTCTCTTTCTGAAGGGGAGAATGATATCAGTAAAAGATATGCTGGAGGTTTAACATCTCCTGCCACTAGTTCTAAATCCAGTTGTTGGAGTATCTCCTGAGGTAGTCACAAAAGTCATTATGGTAAAACTAATAAGAAAAAATAAGAAGGACTTTTTGTGTAGGTATAACTGTCAGCATCATCACGTCACTGTTCTTTTCCCCTCTCTCCTTTTCTTTCTTTCATAATAGCAGCAAAAGACCTCATAACCAGGCTGTTGATAGTGGATCCCCAGAAGCGCTACACAGCACGACAAGTACTTCAGCACCCTTGGATCAGAACAGCTGGAAAAACAAACAGCAGAAATTTGCAGAGGGAAGTGACAATAAATATTGAGCGTCATTTTCGGGCCCAGCGCCGAAAGGAGGTTGCAGATGAGGACACATGAAATCTCTTCAAGCTCGTTTAGTCTTCTTTTTATTGATTAACAAATAATTTATGTTTTCTTTTCTAAATGAATTGGGCCTTTAGTGTATAGCTGTTGCTGGCCATTGCCATGCCTTTTTTTTTTTTTGATTCTGAGATTCTGAAGAAGGACAGAGATCAAATTCGCATCCACTTCCTTCTGATGTTACTTAGGAGTCTCTCTGTTGACAGCAGTGAGGACTAGATATTTCCTGGAGGGTATCTATTATTTTTCTTTAAATACTGATTTGGGCTTTTACATTACAAAATGTATATCTTTTAGACAACAAATGTTTGCTTCTGTGGCTGACACTAGTGATGACTTCTCTTGTCTCTTTTTGTATGATACCTTCCAGGAGTTTTGTGTTTATAATGTTTTGTGTTTATAATGTTTTCAAAATAGCTGTCTGCATACACATCCTGCGCTAATTCTCTAAACTGTCTTTTCACCAATTCTTGCTAGCAATGGAGAAGGTGAATGAATAAAAAAAAGCAAATACATTCTTTAGGATATGTTAAATAAACAACAAGATACTATTTATTAAGTTGTGAGGGAAGAAAAATCCTTATAGACTAAATCAAATATTTTATGATATCTCCCTTGGCAACATCTTTCATTGGATGTTCTCGTGGACAGGACAATAGACTGTACAACATTTCTGTTAAACTATGGTAGTGCTGTGTAGTATGGTAGTTTCATTTGTTTATGAGAAGTGGGAAGATAGCGTGGCTGATAGCTTTTCAAGACTAATAAAAACTTTCAAAGTGCTTTTCTTCCTACTCTGGGAAGTAGGAAGTTAAGCAATTCTAAGGGAACTTTGGTTCTTTTCCCAAAGGTGTATTTATGGAATGATAACCCAAGCATTTTTTCATACTGATTTTTTTTCTTAGGAGCCATCCGTGTGCATCTGTGACTCTTCCATGCTGATGGAGAAGAGAAAGCTGGGAAGCTGCTTTTGTGACTTAAGTTAACCCTTACCTTCATGGTGCCTTTTTCATCAGCACACTTCACAGCTGAATTTTATACACTTTTTCAGCGTAGTTTAGCAATCGTTTGGTTTTTTTCCCCTGTTGCCTTCCCTGGGGACTCTTTCTCCTTGCTTCCATGAGAATGGGCAATGGGATGAAATTACATTAAAATTCAACTCGGGGAAAACAACAACTTGTTGTTGTTGTATGGAAGGGTCTCCCAGAGGAAGGGTCAGATGCACATGTTTTTTATAATTTGATTGGATGCAGTTTTAAGGAAATCCTTGGGGGAGGAAATCCAGTCCTGAGAAGGGCTGTGACCTAGAACAGCTTTTGAATCTCAGAATTTTTGGTTAACTAATCAAATCCAAAAAGCACTTGAGTTGTCTTGTTTTATAATGCTTTGTCCACGAGTTCCATGTGCTAGTAAATAATATTGATGTTAAAATATCAGTGGTATTAGTATTGAATTCATAGCTTGTAGAAATGAATGAGGGTATTTTACAATTGCAGTGCTGCTGCTCTGCCTATGTATTTCATAATGAGAAATGTCAGAAGCATTTCAGAATCAGTAGAACATTTTCAAAACTATATGAACCAGAATATTATTTTTGGTGAGTGCTAATATTTTGTGTGAACTTTCTGAATTACCAAAAACCGTGGGGTACTGTCACCATGTTTCTGTTTCAACTTGTGACAGTTTTGCTGCAAGAATGATGTATGAAAGTAGAGATGATTGGCTTTTAAAGGAGAATTGCACTTTGAATTGAACTGGCTTATTTTTAATACATATTGGAATAAGACTTGCTGTGGAATTCAAGAATTTGTGAAACAAACCAGTCAAATCTTTACTGTATGCCCAAGTACTATGTATATGATATGTCATACCTCTGCTTTAGGGGCCCTGGGTCAGGAAGACTTTCCCTTTTCCTGAAAACAAGAATGGATTTAAGCGCTTTCCTGAGTTAAGCCTATGTGTAACCTCATATTCTAAATGCATTATGTGGTCTTTGAGTACTAGTAATAACTTCGCCTCTATTAGTTTAAGTCTATTGCGGATAGGAAGCTGTGGAAAAATAGCTTCTGACTTGTAATATTATATATTGTAATTATCTTATTTTTAATATAGTTGTTTAGGAATAAAGTTTGAAGAGACAGAATACTTTATCAGCAATGAATCTGACAGTTTGGAGATTGTGTTATGAGTTGCCTTTTTCACCTTTAAGAACCTGTCTACAGCCTTATTCATAGTGCTGAAGATAGAGAATTTGCTTGTAATGAATATAAAAGTAATTATTTTTTCAAAGATTTTGTTTTTCTCTCAAGTTCTCTGGTTCCCAGACAGACTAAAGATGGACTGTCCTGTGTACTGTCACTGCATTGCATCTGTAAGTACAGACAGTGCTGGGGCAGCGCTGAGGGACTGGTTTGTTGGTGTTGCTAATAGACATGTGGCATTAGGCCCTCCTTCTTCAGGTTGGAGGCTGAAAGAGCCTCCAGGTGCTTCTCAGGGTTTTTTCCTCTTTCTTTCTCTCTCCTGCTTAGATATTCCTTCTTTTCTCTCATTGCTTCCAGTGTTCTTGCTCTGCCTCTGTGCTGCTCTAAGGAGTGCAGGTCCCCAGTCGTGGTTTAAGTTGCTCGAAACAATGAGAACACATGACTTTGGTGAGCTCAGCCTCAAGCATTGCTTGCTGATGTTGAAAGTTAGTAAGATTAGAGAGGACTCAGACAAAAACCGGTGAAAACACCGTATTGGTCTCAAGGTTATCTCTAGTATCCCCTCATGTCCTACTGCCTTTTCTCAAGCTTTTCTCTTCCCACTGCATGACATTCCAATGCAGACCTGATCTTTACGCCCTATAAGACAGTTTCTAATACATGAAACACATTCACACTCTAGGGGTGAGGATTTTTATTGTTCTTACTTCCTTTCCTGAGATTTTTCTAATGATTACTGTCTCCTTGGGTTCTGGAGTCATCTTCCCCTTATGCTTGCATTTCTTGATTAGTTCCTTCGTCTACAGGAAGTCTGAGGAAGCTCAAAGCTGGGGAAGATTGAAGTCTCACAGAGAGCAAGTTCTTGCTGATTCGTTAGGAAGAAGAAATATCCCTCCTTGCCCTTCATTAAATCTTTGTGGTTTAGACTCTCATATGGCCTTATACTTCACTGAAAGTAAAACTAGTTAGTGTCCCTAGCTCTTTAGATGCTAACAATGAAGAAAGTCAGAATGTACCACCAAGAAAAACAAAGAACCCCAAAAAGCTAAGTGCAAAGTATGAATTCATATTGCAGACCTGAATAGAAAAGATCCACTTACAGAGAATTTGCTATGTCTAAGGCAACAGAAAGGAAGAACCTGTTTTGTTTCCTGAAAGCTTTTGCAGATCAGCTGAGTAGGAATCCTTTCATGCCTCGTAAAGGTGTCGGTTGATTCCTGTCTCACAACCAGAGATCCTGACCAAGTTCTAGTTATTCCAGAGTTATGTCATTACTATCTGGTATTGACTATTCCAAAATTTTTCTCTCTTTAGAAACCAGAGACCCTGACCCTGTTATCTTTAACCAAAGACTTGGCTATTCTCTAGCTGGTTGCAGTTTTTAAGCACACTTTTATTTTCATGCCCTAACTGTAAGACTTCTCAGACTTTTGAGGCACCAAGATCCAAACATTTAGAATTGGGGCCTCAATATTTCATTTCCTAGTGACACACACGCCTCATAGTAAGAGTTGGTTTTGGGTTTTTTTTTTATTACTGGGTCAGCATTTAAAATCACAGTCAAGGCTTTCAACTACAGTAGTGACAAAAGTGGTTACCTGCACGATAGCTGGGGTCTACGTAAGGATGTGCTACTCCCAGAGATCAGACGAAGAGTCCTATAAAGCATTTTGAGCATCCTTGAAAGCCAGTGTTACTAGCTTCGTGCATCATAAACTTCCCTTGACTGTGTTAGGAGTTTCTGAATATTAAGTCCAGGCTTTTAGTGTCTGCCTGTGACTGACTGACTAAGTAGTAACTCTCTTCAGTGATACACTTTCCACTGTCTAAAGATAAAGCGGTCCCTGGATGTCCCCCTCCATTTGTCCACCAAGGTCAACTTCTTCACTTCCATGTATGTTACTACATTTCATTGATCCCAGACCTCGCCTACCTATTTTCTATCACCTATCATCCACCTACTGTCGTCTACCTATCTTCTCTCCTCGGATGACTCATTACTGAAAGATGGTGAAATCTTCACATATTAATTTGTTTTTCTTCAGGGCATGCTGGCCACGTATGAAAGAATTATCAGAAATGGGAAATAGGAATGTGGTCAGTGCAGGAAATGAGCAATTTTTTTTGAAAGTATTTAGGCATCTGAAAGTGTGCAAAAGATACTAGCATTTCACGTTGCATAGTGCTTAACTGCCTTAAAACGAACAATGAGAATTTGGTCCCAGTCTGTACGTCAGTCACCTAATATTTAAAAATATGTGCCCAAGAGATGGAAACTTAGCACTACAGCAGAGACTATTTCCTCTGAGACACAGACACTCTAATTTCTCTTACTCAGGGACCCCTCTTCTTCATCTAAGATTTGTTTAGCTACTCTGTGGAATAGCTGAACTCAGAAACCATTAAATTTGCCATCTCAGTATACTGTTCTGACTGGCATGATAGGTGCATCTGTTGTATCTCGGTTATTACAATTTTTGGCTGTAAGGTAAAAGAGGGGTAGTGCAATATTATCCTCTGAGCTTGAGTCTTTTGGGTTATGGCCCTACTGTGAAGGTGAAATTTCTGGAGTTGACTGCTTGCTTTTCTGCAAGTATCTGGATTTGGGGCGGTATTCAGTCTGCTTGAGAATATAGTAAATTTGCTGTGCTTATAAACTGATCTTCCCAAAGACAAGTAAGCATCAGTCTGAAATCTTCCTCCTGTCATTTCTTCTGTCGCCTAGATTTCTTTTAATTTAAGCAATGTATGGAAAATACTTTTTATGTTGCTGGGCATGCATTTTTCTGTCCTCTTTTGAGTCCACCAGTACAACTCTTTACTGTTGACATTCTTGCTCCTGAAAGGAATATGGGCACTTTAACCGGGCTAACAGCGTATATTGGCACTGTTTGTTCTACAGAATGGTTTATTTGCAACTGGGCTGAAGGTGTCATTTTCTAAATTAAAATACGTTATGGACTTCAGCAGAAAAGTGGTTGTTCCCCCTGCCGATAAAGGCAAACTATATAGTGGATGTTATATTTCAATATTCTTTCCAATAAATTGGGAAACAGTTGCGTGGCCAAGTATTTTGAGTTGTGGTTTGTTTGTTTGTTTTTTCCCTGACAATTTATCTATTTGGGAAATGCTTGTTTTAAAAGGTTTGCAGTTTCATTAAGTGTTGTGTGTACCTTCATTTACACTTAGAAGGACCCATTCTAATGCTGCAGTCCTCTGAATACGTACAGATGTGTTTTCCTTTGCTGCTGTATGTAATGCCATTAAAATCAACACAATTCTTTGCAAACCTGGAGCTGAGATTCATTCTAACACTGTTTTTGTCCTTCTACTGCATTAATCATGTCCGCTATGATGTCAGAGCAATCATGACAAGCAGAGCTAGTTTCATTGAAGCTTAATGCACACAGAACTGAATTCTCCCATCATTAATTCTTATTCTGTAAAATTCAAGTTTATTTGGAAAAAGATTTGCTTTGTTTGTGGAAACGGGCATTCTAGTTGAAATTGAGAAGATTGCAAAAGTGGCTTTTTCAAAGGACACAGTTTCTTAGTAGCTTCTGTATATTTCAGTTCTGTTATTAAAAATGGTGTTTTCCTGCAGGCCTGCAGTATCAGCTGAAGCAGTGGAAATAAGAATGCATCTAATCTATTGATGGTGTTTTCAGAGAAACTACCTTCTCTGGATGTGAGCATGTGTGATAAAGTGGCTGCCAGTGAGAATCAGTACAGGCTCTCATTTATTACGTATTGGTACCTAAGAGACCACAGCCTCCCCAACTGCTCTTAGAATAACTGCAGAATGACTGACTTCTATGATAATCACACGCATTTATTGCAGTGCATTTTAATGGTATGTATAGGTGGCTAATTAAAACTGATTTAATGCTTTGCTGTTGGGAGTGGGATTCAGCTGTGTTTCCCGTGTTACTAGGAGTTGAAATCAGAGTCCGGCAATGGTTTTTTTTTTTAAAATGGGCCATTAAAGTTGTCACTGCTACATGCTATTTCTTTGGAAAAGAAGACATGACCCTTTGTGTCATCCAGTTTGCTGATTCACTCTGTTGCCTTGTGTTATAAACAGATGCTGTATTCCTGCAGAATTTTATCTTTTGAAATTAGAGCTGTTTTGATAATGTAGCAATTGGAAAAACAGAAAAAGTAAAGCTAGTAATCTTAGGACTGGATTAGCTCCATTAGTCACTGGAAATATATTTTGTTTTCTGAGTTCAGAAACTGAAACAAAGAGCTGGAACCATGTAAAAATTTAGAGAAACGCAAGACTATTCCTGTAGTACGTGTTTCAGCAATTCAAGCAGTAAGAATATTTGACCTAGTGAGAACACCCAGCCATGCAGTTCATTGCTAGGGATAAGTAGGTGCTACAACAGTCAACTTCTGAAAGGGTTTGAGATTGCTGTATTGGATAAAGGGTGCAGGACTGAATAAAGGGGTGCTCCTTCTAATCACCAGAAAAATGTGACCCATCATAAACAAAATGTTATTCCTGCGTTGTCATTGCTGTGTTAGTTGGTAAAGATTTCTAGATTTCAGTGACAACCATTGTATTGTAAGCAGGCATTTCTCATGAAGAATTTCAGCGTAAAACATTTTAGATAATGCTTCATGTCAAGGATTTTAGCAATGAAGACAATTTCTCCAGAAAATGGAAGTGTATGATCGTTAACTGTTATGGTAAGTTGTCAAGCAAACCTTATTGCTGGATTTTCAAAAAGAGTGCGATTTTGTGATCCTAAGCATTTGCAACTACCCAGCTTGCAATGTTGACAGCTTTAATGACATTGTAATGCTTCAGCATATAAACTTATCATTTAACAGGCTCAGAAGAAACCTATGTGCCTAGTCTAAGGATGGAACTAAATGGGTTGAATAGATTTTATTCATTTCAGC